GGCTACCAGAGCCTGCAGTCCATGATGAAGACAGAAGGCCCGGCCTACACCCCCATGCCGCCCACCTACCCGCCACCCATCCCGCCGTATCACCCGCACGTCTACCAACAGGCCGCGGCGCCGCCTCCAGGTCCTCCGCCTCCTCCATCCAGTTACCCACCACCCAGTTTGGCCCCAGCCTACCCTCCGCCAGGCTACAACAGCTACCCTCCGCCACCGCCTCCCCGCATGCCCCCAGGCCACGTGCCGCCGCCGGGGATCACGCTTCCCCCTGCCGGGTACCCTCCTCCACCCCCCGTGCCTCCAGGACAGTCCCAAGTACCCCTGCCCCCTCCACCTGGAATGCCCCTCAACCGCGGCGGGTGGATGAGATGAATCTACAAACATATAGCTGCTGATTGGAGACTGAACCAGAAAGTTTTCCTGTCACAAACTAAAAGAAGTGAGGCTGGTCTCTCTTCAGTGCGGCTTCAGACAAGCAGCTGACGTGGTTGGAGATAAACTTGAAATGACAAGTCAGGTCTGAGCACCATTATTTGGAAAACCAGGAGGAATATTTCTGGGAAGTATTTTTTTTTTTTTTTTTTTTTTTGAAAAGATCTTTTGATATCTACAGGAAGCTACTTATTGAGCCCTTCACTGAGAATGTACTGAGGAACAGCAGTTTTCCTCCCAAAGTGTGTCAAAGACATGTTTCAGTTTATTTGGTTTTGTTTTAGGCTTCTTGTCATTTAAATCATGTTTTTTGCCTCCTAATGTTTCCCAGTTGTTTTTGCGTTCTGTTTCTCATTTTGTTCCATCACATTGTGTCCAGTCTTAGGGAAAACACAGTAGTTGAGGCTTTTGGAGTTTGTCGACCCATAATTTGTTTTTGTTTTGGCATAACTTTGAAAATGCTGGTTTCACTTCGCAAACAGTTCTGCGACTATTAAAAGTTTTATTTTCACATTTTGTCCTTGTTTTGTGGGATCTGTAAAATGTTATTACAAAAGTACCCTCTCAAACTAAACAAATTTAGAAAAAATTGCTCTTTAATGGCGATGCACTTGCCCACTTTTTTCACAGATACACATATCTGAGATTTAGTACAGATCCGATACAGAAAAAGTCCTGAATTGACGTTACATTTTACATTTCCTTTACTATCTTCATTAAAAAACAGACATAAGTGTACTGCATTACATGCTCATTCAATAACTCTGCACCAGTACAGCTAATACACCGATCACTAAACAAGCTTGGTCAAACGTTAAAAACAGCTCAACTTCGATTGGTTCAGTCAGTGCAGTTAGAAGTAGGACAGCCAATGTAAGATAAACTGAAACTGACAGAAACAAAAGGCCAAACATGTAAAAATAAACTGCAATAAACCTTTAAAATGTTGTAAGGTACAGCAGCATTGTAGCAGCTGCTCAGATGTGAAACTCCAGTTTTTATCATCCAGTTTTCAGCAGGAAGTATGAACAGAACACTGTGGGTCCTTCACAAAGACTCAGGACAGAAGCCAGAGAGATTAACTCCTTGTCCTAAATTACCAGCCAGCTGTAAACTACAAGTCCCATTCGACTGCAGGAGGATCACTCCTCCCATTAGCCCTGGCACAGAGCCGACTACAAATGGGAGGTTAGTCGTCGTAGTCGTCATGGAGGCCCGGCTGGGATGGGACCCTCTGTCACTCACCGCTACACGTGTCATAAACTCATTGTCTTGCCATCAATCGGAGGACCTAAGCACCTCCACAGCAGATGGAGGCCCAGCAGGACGACAGGAGGCCACGCCCGGAGCCCCCGCCCCACACAGAGAACACACGCCAGGAGGAAGAGGGGCCACAACTTTAGGGGTGCCCCATGGCCCAGACTGGCCCTCCTGTGGATACACCTCTGGATGAAGTCCTAATGTCTTCCATGATTAATCGGAGGCAAATATGGCTGAGCCTCTACTGTAAGACATCAGCTGGTTATGATCTGGAATCAGTGGCGTTTAGATTAAAAGATGTTCTATGTTACCCTCCCTTTTTTATTGTACTTTGTTTCCTCATTTTAGCCACATTTAATTATTACATTCCCTGCCAGCTAAAGAGAAGCTCAGATAAACACTGCGGGGTGGGCACAACAAAACATTTGAGGCTAGGGCGCCTCAATTGATCCAAATGTCTAGAACCGGGCCTGGACCGAGCATGCCACTGTGACAGAACAGACAGACTTTGTTGCCCTCTGGTGGTGAAAGTATAACATTTGTTCCAACAATAAACATGGGAACAATGCCTCTATGGCACAGCAGAGGGCGTCATTGATAAATGAAAAAAATGGCATTCTTATTTACACATTTATATATGATTCTGATTGCTTTTGTTAGTCATTTAAGCAAATAAAAACATAAAGGACCAAAACCAGATACTAATTGAATAAGTAAACAATTCTTAAACATTAGTCAACGAGTGTTTTATTTGCTTATTGACGGCAACAAATACCATATCAGACAGGTTTCTTTCGTAACATCGCGGCATGTGTTCGTAATAATGTGCTTGGTATTATGGAAAATCAAAAATGCGACATTTATATCACTGGGACATTTGGAACTAGATTTTTGTTGCGTTTATTTAAATATTTTAATGTTGATTACAATAAATTTTGACCCTGCTATCCAAATACGGCAGCTGAAATCAAGAATAATTACTTTATGTAATCTTTATTGTCTAATTTTGGTGAGTCTTCCACATTAGGATGCCTTGCTTAAACTTCCCTAAGCCAAGACAGCTAAAGTGCAAAGCTGTGTTGTGATGTAATTGTCTAATGCAACATTTATGCTAAGCAGAAACTTGCTAAGTGTATGAACTGCAGGATAAATCCTTACCAGCAGAGGGCGCTCTTTGTCATCCTATGTTGGGGAAAAAAACGTTCTCTTCAAATAAAGACAACACTCAACAGCATCATGAATCAACTTGTTTATTTTATTTCCCAGAGTTTTCTAAAAGTGGCCTAATTCATGTACACTTCACCTGAAAATTGCTGTTTTTTTATTTTTTAAATCAGTGAAATTCATGAGAAACAGTTACAGTCATGCTAGTTGCTACAAGATTGACGTTTGCACCTGAAATCCTAGAGATTTGGATTGTGGGTTTTAGCATACAGGTGTAAAAAGGAGCATTAAAGAGAAAAGTTTAAAACAATAATAATAATAATAATAATAATAATAATAATAATAATAATAATAAAAACGTAGTTGGGTACCAAATCGAAACATAATCAAGGAAAATGTGGCAAATTTCAAACTAAACGCCACCTTTTTTTTCTTTTTCTTTTTTTGTTTTAAGTATTGAAAATTGTACCATGGCTTTAAAGCAGTTCCTAGAAAAAAAGGACACTTTAAAATGAATACTTTGATTGCTTTTCTTTTACCGTTTAAGGGATAAAAAGGTCGGTGACGGCATCTGAACAAATATCACCAAAAATGGGAGAGCCCGTTCCGTCCGTATATCACATCTGTCCGATATAACTTACAGATTGATCAGAAATAATCAATTCATGAACCTGTTTGCTCCCTTCAACCTCTATGTTAAACCTGGCAATAAATACGCTGATGAATTGCTCATATTGACATCAAGAAATACTCGTTTTTACAAAGTTTCGTGGTGTAAAGACATCGACGGGAAGACATACTTCTCATATTCTAAGATTGAAAAGGTAAAAGTAGAAAGAAATCGTGCACCTGCTGAATCCATAACAGAAAGAATCTAATTTAGCAATTTACTTCAAATAAAAATCCTAAAAATGAAAATCGTAGTGCAACTACGGTTAGACCTTCAAAAATCTTATTGCAGTCGGTAAGCTCTTGCATGGATTCAGAAAATGTGTCGTGTTGCAACCAGATACTACAGCCGCAAGAAAACCATCCAGTCTTCATTCACACACACGCACAGGCACATCCACACAGACTCAGAGATGGGTGAAGGTAAAACTCTCGCCCTCCCAACCTGAGAAAATGATTGTCTGACAAGCACACAGCATTCAAAGTTTTTAGCTTTTGTTTTTTTTTTTCTCCCACAAAGTCATAAAATCATCTGAAGAATCCAAATGGCCTCGGTACATTTTCAGAGGTTCAATTGAGAAGGTATTATAAAGGTTGATCTGGAAAAAAATAATAATAATAATAATAATAATAATAATAATAATAATAATAAATGGTTAATACCAAAAGCAAACCCTGTTGAAGGTCAGACTGTGAGTGTGCTTTGGAAACAGAAAAATGTTTGATCACGTGGCCACGCTAGTGTACAAAACAGAGAAAACGTAAAATCAACACAAAGTAGTGCTATGGTTTTATACACATTATACACAAGTTATCAGCGTCCCCTAGACGTAATTATATTCATAGACTCTCACGAGCAAAAGGCGCTAGATCACAGTGGGTTTCACTTAAGTTAATGTCTCAGAATGCTAATCCTAATTATACTCGTTGACCACTAGGGTGTGGAAAGGTCGGTGTGACAGGAGTTAGTTTTTTTTTTTTCTTTTCTTTTCTTTTTACATTTATTTATAGAGGGGTTACTATTAAAAGTTATCCAAAAATTCAGCCACACTGTCGCCCTCTCAGCCCTGCTGCATGCGGGAACAAAAGTGCCAAAATTCGTAAAAAAATAAGTTGTTAAATAAATATTGAAGTGGAAATACAATAAATAAATAATTCTATTTATAGTTGCATAAATGTTGATGTAAAGAATAACAATTAAAAATAAAACAATATGAAAACCATCTGGTAAAACTGAATTTATTAACTTTTTCTCTTTTCAATAATCGAGCTGCAGCACATTTTGAATTAATTTTATTGCTCAACCTGACAAAGTTTAAATTATTTCATAATGGACGGCAGCACAGGAAATGTGAAATAAATACATACCAAAACGGGTTCAATTTATATAACTAATTTAATAAATCACTGAATCATTTATGTAAATATTGAGGTTTGTTTTAAAATGTATCTACTGTATTGGAAGTCTTATGCCAAGTGGAAGTGGGCATTTATCAAATCATTTATCATTTATCGCAATAAATTTATACCGCAAAATATCACGCAAAAACTTTAAGTCTACTTTGCCCACAGCTAATTCAGAGTATTTATTTGACAAATTATTTGGCGCATTGTGGCACTTTTGAGCCCCCGTAGCACGCCGGGGAGGTCTCGGCTCCTGCGGCTTTGTCGCGTCTGTGCTTGAAACCATGTTGCACCGCCGGCTGACGAGAGCGCCGCCGTGCTCTCGAAAGAGGCCAACAGAGCGGTGTGAGTGTTTGAGACTGACGGAAAGTGGCCAAACTAGCTGCCGGTAGTCACCTTCAACATCGACTGGTTAGAAACGTTGTGTAATAATTCCACTGTACATGTAAATATCAAGACTACGTAGTCCATCCTGTCGCCGTCTCAACTGGTCCTAAAGAGGGCGTTTTCTGCAAGGGGCAGGAGGGGGCAGCTGATTCTCCGTCGGCAGTGGTGGAGCGCGGAGTGATGGGTGGTGTCGGCAGGTTTAATGTGGTGGCGTCCCCCCCTCCCCCCGGGTGAATGCAGGCGAGTCGGGTCGTCGGTGCTACAGCGGCCCCTTGAACTGGTTCCCAGAGAGATGCTGCCTGATGGACATCTTTGATCCGGCGGCGTCGCCCAGTTTTCGCCACACCACCTGCACAAACGGAGAGCAGAGACGAGACGCTGAGAGGCGAAGGGGAGCGGCCGGGTCAAGAAAATAATGCAAATAAAACTCGCTCTTCAAAAACGCAAAAACCCTTCACACACCTCCCCGCAGGTGTGCATCTCGGGAGTTTAGGGTTATCATCTGAAAGTTCTTTTTTATTATTTCAATAATTCAAGTCAAGTTCCTCTTTTCTGAACAGAACTACTGAAATAAAATTAACTTTTTATTAGTGCACCTGTACATGCGAAGCAGCTGAACTACTTTTCTTCCTCTCTTCCAGCTTTGTAAATGAGGTGGGGGCAGTGGTGGCCTCCCCCCGGTAATGTTATTACAGAAGCACTATTGTACTGTCCCCCCCTCACCCTTCCGCCAGATTCCTGGCCTGCTGCATACCTCTGCAGGGCCCAGATAGCCAGGCTCTCTCTCTCATCGTTGCACCTTTTATTCAGCAAAAGGTCTTTACAGTTCCAACACAGAGAGAGAGAGAGAGAGAGAGAGAGAGAGAGAGAGAGAGAGATGAGGAGAGGAAGACTAGATAGGAGAGAATGAGTGGTTGGAGGAGAGCGCTCTTTTCAATGCTGATACAGTGGAATTGATTTGACAGCTCAACTATGAGCCTCCACTGATGGCTTTGTTTCACAGAAGACAAAAGAAAGGGGACAGAGGGGATGAAACAAGGCCGCTCGGGATGTTAGGACTGTAGCTGTGCTGTGTATTATGATGATGATGATGATGATGATGTATTCTGGGCCCGTGCAAGTCAAAACTGTGAGATGATGGGGCTAAATTGGCATTTAGTTCAAACGATCGGCCATGTTTTCTGCACTTAAAGTGGAGTTGGGGGGGGTTTGTTTCCAATGTGGAAATTGTGAGAATCCATGTAAAACACACACAGGATCTGTTACATTGCACATATCTCATTTAAAAAAGAAAGAAAAAATATTATTTTGAATCAGAGGATGGAAACATTTGGAAAAAAATAAATAAATAAAATAAATAAATAAATCCAAACAGGTCAGAGACTTCCAGAGATTTCTATCCAGGACATAGAGGAAGGTTCACCATTCAAAGTGGTGTTTTCACAACTGATGGTCCGGTGGACTCGGATCTACTGGAACATCTGTTACATTTTCAGCCGGTGAAACTCGCTTTCGCCGCATTGTGTCAAACGCTCCAAAGCAGAGGTTCTTAACCTGGGTTCGATCGAACCCCAGGGGTTCGATGAGTCGGTCTCAGGGGTTCGACGGAGCCTCTGCCGTGGAGGTAAAGACACACTTGTGTAAAGTCGTGATGACGCCCCGCTTTGCTGCAGAGGATCACGTTATATTGCTGAGCCAATCAGAGGATCACGTTACATTGCTGAGCCAATCAGAGCTGCGGAGGAGCTGTGGTTGAAGGAGTTCCACTCTCAGCATGGATTTGAACTTGTGTCTTTAATTACTTCAGCAAAACTCACCGTTTTTACCAAATTCTGTAGCTTTCGGTGTACTTCTAAATCTGCTCCATAATCGCATCTTTTCGGGGTTGGTACTGCCTCTAGTGGCGTGGGGGTGATAACACAGCTAATATAATTACATTACTAAATCAGAATACCGCAAAGTCTCTTCTGTGTCGGCGCGGGGCAGGGGGATGGGGGGGGGGGTGGGGAAGGGTTAGGTGAAGGCGCAAATGAAACTT